TTCATTTGCAAAATTACCATTTTTACTCTTTAGCAACTCTCCAATAAGAGAACATCTCTCCCTAAAGGACACTTTGGCTTTGTAATTAGGTGTTGTCCTTTACAGGGAGGTAGTTCTAGTGTATTTGAAGGAGTCGAAATCAAGGTCTGAGCTGGGTATTGCTGCTGATTCTGCAATCATATCACAAGTCTCCATGATGGGAGAGCTGCTGTCGTTGGTTGGCTATCCACATGGAGGTGACAGTCAGACTTTGCCCTCCATTCTACCAAATTCAGTTCTGGATCTTCCCAATTGGTCTTGAAGACCATACCAACACCATCTCTTTAGCTGTGAAGCACACAATCTATGTTTACTTCGTAAATCACGACATGCATGGCGTCCCTGTTTAATCTTCTTCTTCCGTCTTATCTCCACTCAATCATATTAGGGTATCAAGTTGTGACCCTTGACGGTGTCTGTTTGACAACCATCATGACTGGGTGAAGTAAAATGTGTCTGCCTTTGTCATTAAGACTGGGAGCACTACTCAGTGGCAGGCCGACTTAGCTCCAAAAGAAATGGCCGCCTCTGACATGTGGAACAGACGCCATGTACAGCCGCTCCTAACATGGAGTACATACGCTGCTCATCCTGTATCCCTGGAGCCCTTACAGGGTACTATCAGCCGGGCCAGCTGAGCCCAGGTTTTTTAGTGAGCTTGTTACTGCTCCCCCTCCTCCTTTTTCATCCAGGCTTGGGACCGGCAAAGGCGGAGTTCACTGCTTAATGAATTTAATGAATAAAACGGCACATCATGCGGCGTTTTATTCGTTTATATATGTTTCCTGTAGAAGAGCAGGGATGCCCGAAAGCTTGAGAAGGTTTTAATAAAATAAAAAACTCTCCGGAAATCTTTAAAATTGTTTAATTATGTACCCATAGAAGTGCGTCTTGCCCAAAAGCTTGTACAATTGTAGTCTTATAGGTCCAGGGTAGCCTAGTGGACATGGCATCTGCCCGGTAAGCGGAACACTGTGGGTTCGATTCCCATCCCTGGACACTTTTATTTTTCCGTTTATCATTACTCTTCACAATTCATCCTTTCATACTTCATCCCTAAAGTTAGAAATAATCGTTATTTCTCCTTAAAATAAATTTGGATTTTTCGTTGAAGTGTAGTCTTATATAAAAAAGCTCCCCACTTTGTGTTTCTTATTCTATATGATAAATTATTTCATACCTAATAATCTAACTAGAACATTAGCCAGTTGGTAGAACAGGTCTAGAATTACAGCCAGTTCTTATTGAAGTTTTACTTTAATCAAGTTAAAGTAAGTGTGAGACGACCTTATGTTTCACTAATTGATATTTAACTCTGTTGTTGTCGTGTCCAATGAACAGATGTCTCCACAATCTCTATCACAGCAATGTTCTCTATCTTGGGTGTGTATACTGTATTGTTGTTGTTGTCGTGTCCAATGAACAGATGTCTCCACAATCTCTATCACAGCAATGTTCTCTATCTTGGGTGTGTATACTGTATTGTTGTTGTTGTCGTGTCCAATGAAGAGCCTCAGATGTCTCCATACATCTCTATCACAGCAATGTTCTCTATCTTGGGTTTTATTTATTTATGCTTATGAGGTGATACAGCAGCGTATTTACAATTAGAGAGGAGACAAAATGAAGTAAATCTAGAAAAAAGAAGTGAGGACATATCGGTCATTAAAATTTGAGAGGCATGTCCAGTAGCTGCTGTATTGTCCGTGAGGTCAGACGTACGGACCTCTGTGGTGTTGATCTCTTGGCGGAACGACTTGGAAGTCGGACTCGGGCCCCCCCACTGCGATCTTGGGTGTGTATACTGTATTGTTGTTGTTGTCGTGTCCAATGAAGAGCCTCAGATGTCTCCATACATCTCTATCACAGCAATGTTCTCTATCTTGGGTGTGTATACTGTATTGTTGTTGTTGTCGTGTCCAATGAAGAGCCTCAGATGTCTCCATACATCTCTATCACAGCAATGTTCTCTATCTTGGGTGTGTATACTGTATTGTTGTTGTCGTGTCCAAAGAAGAGCCTCAGATGTCTCCGTACATCTCTATCACAGCAATGTTCTCTATCTTGGGTGTGTATACTGTATTGTTGTTGTCGTGTCCAAAGAAGAGCCTCAGATGTCTCCGTACATCTCTATCACAGCAATGTTCTCTATCTTGGGTGTGTATACTGTATTGTTGTTGTCGTGTCCAAAGAAGAGCCTCAGATGTCTCCATACATCTCTATCACAGCAATGTCCTCTATCTTGAGTGTGTAAATGCTGCTGCTCTGGGTCCATGTCAATTTTATATTTAACTCTACCTCATAAAAATAAATGGGAAAAAAACTGATTATCAAGATATATTGTTTCATATAGTTCTGTTTTATCATTTTATATGATGGACAACACCAACACTTTATATGATGACATTTGTGTCATCTTACATCCTATTTAAGTCAGATAAAAGTGTTTTCTATCTAAATTTGACCATTTCTGCATTTTCAACTTACTCACTCATAATGAGAATTTAATTATTTAGAACATGTTTTTTTTAATTGGGACAAATTTTAAATAAAAGAACCATGACCCATTTAATTAAAATATATGTATAGTTTCTTAATGTGTGGTTCAAAGCTCATTTTGAAACAAAGTCCTTAATTTTTGAAGACCTGTAAATAATTAATATTGATAATTTTAGAAGATATAATGAATAAAAATATATACATTATTTGAAGCAGATTACTTGATTATAACAGATAAATTAATATTTGTCTTGATTATTGTCAGTTTTTATTTGTAATTCCAAGTAGGCTTGAGATAAAAGCTGAATTTTTGAATTTCTTCCTTTTTTTAGGTCATAAACAATCGTTCGAAAAAATAAGGTCATAACTCCCTGCAGTTTCCGAGTCAAAATAATGCTTTACATACAGAAGGTCTGACGGATATTGTATTTATATATATAGATAATTATTTACTTACATTACTTGGGCATGAGCGTTTTAACGACAATATATCGTCTGCGAGGGGCAAATATTGATCATTTAAAATGTCATGTGTAAAAGGTTCAATAGATGTCTTAAAATAAAATAATATTTTACTATAAACTATTGACAACTAAAAATTCAAAATTTTTTGAAATAGTTTTAAACTTGTTTAAAATTTGGTACGCAAAAAAAAAAAAACGAATATTTTTTATTGATAAAATCTTGTTCGATTCTCATTTAAAAATGGCGCCAATGTAAATAATAGGGCATACGTTTGTTTTGGTATTTTGTTTTATTAAAAAATACAAACATAAAAATAGAATTCGTCTACAATTAAAATTCTGATGAGATATCTTAATATCTATATATATTTTTCACATATATATATATATTATAGTTCAGTTTTTAAAATTTGTTAATTATGAGTCTCTTTTGACCAAACGATAATCGCAAATGATTCTTTTTTCAGTTAACATTCATTAAAATGTCTATTATTGTAACCAAACAGTTCTGGCAGCTTTTAAGAATAAAGGCAAACACTGCACTTTTACATTTATATGAAAATAGTTTCACATGATTATCATGGTTTGCCCACTCAAAGTAAAACTTTATTTTATATTGAAAAATAGAGTAATTATTCAAATACTTAATGAACGATCTGTGCAATTTTACCACTATTTTAAATGAAGAGTCTCATTTTAATCAAATTTTAAAGAGGCTAATTAAAATTTTTGAGAATTATAGAATGACTTATCATCATAAATATTATTATTTGAGATAGTCTTTAACTCTATGTGAACAACAAACAGAATTTTGTAAATATATATAACATAAAGTTGCAGGAGAATGATATTCATGTGACAAAAGTTTAACTTCTCCCTTCAAAAACAGATTTGAACAGTGGATTTGTTTCATCACCCATGCATGTTAGAAAAACGCCAGTTTTGGCAAATTAAAACAAAAAGCTGGTATGCCATGGTTTCGGGCTTTGACTCTCATCAGTACAGGAGCGGCTTCAACTTCATAACATCATAATCGGCCGATTTGGCTAAGAAGGTGCTTAAGCTTATGCAGGACCAGTTTTCAGCCTAGAATACAACATAAGCGGTCCTGTTCTGATGAAGGCTAAAGCCCAAAACCGTGACATACAGGTTGGTTTTAGTCTGAATGCTCTGAAAATGGTGTTGTGGCTCATTTTTAGCCCCATCATTAAATTTAAGACTGGGTTATAAAAAAAATGCACCTTTAAAGGAAGATATGCTTCTTTTGGTATATGAAAGTCAATTTCCTGAAACTATATGTATATATTTATTTTAAAAATAATGGTCGCCTTCCACGTTAAAATGGACACAAGAACTAATTGCCATTGATTGACCGTTTTCCCAAACTAGGGAACTCAGATCGCTGTCAAAGCTTCAGCTTATTAAAGAGGTGCCAAGAGGTTGACAGGAGAAGCGATAATTTTTTTCTAATCAACATCCTTTCATAAAAATTTAATCTTTTATTTTTGAAATAGATTTGGCATAGCCACTTTGCCAGTTGAACACTTCTTTGAAAATTTGCGAATATTTCACTTGATGCCTTGTGGATCTCATGATATTAAACCGTCCCGAACCTTTTCAGTTCAAGGGCCATGATCTCGAAACCATGGTCTCCAGGTTGGCGCTTCTTGGTTTGCCAAAGCTAGTGTTATAGCTTTTTTACTGACCTGTGTCCGCTGATTTGCGGGAATGTTAAATAGATGGCGCTCAGCTCTAGTAAATATTCTGATGGGAGAGGCGACCATTCAAAAAATCAATATCCTCATTGGGAAATGTCCAACTATCTGTATTGTGTATTGCCTTGTTATAAATAAGAAGATACTCTTACCTTAAGGATTATATCTTTAATCTTATTTATTTATCTATTTACAAGGTAATATTTAAAACTTAGAACAATTACAGCTATGGCGGAACTTTCACCAGCCTAAGGTAAACAACAACAGTCAATCTGATGATGATCGTAACGTACTCTCAACACATCTCCCCCTTTTCTCTAGAGGTTTAGCCTGTCTGGCGGCTTTACCACGCGTCCACTCCTGGTCTTTACTGGTTCCGGTGATCTCTGGAATGTCCTCGGTTCACTGTCACAAGTAGTGTTGTCCCCAGTAGATGTGAAGCACTGACTCATCTCAGGAGACTCCATCTCTTCATCTTCCATGTCAATCTTTTCACCCTGTGGGTTTGGTAGTAGGTGGAATCTATTTCTTCTTAAAATTCCTTTTGGAGAGTTGACTATATAAGATCTTGGACTTCCAGCGTCTTCAAGTACCACACCGGGAACTCTCAAGTCTTTCACCCATACTCTAGTTCCTTTATTCAGATGGGGCAATTCTCTTGCACGATGATGTATATCAAAATGGGTTTTCTTTTTGTGCCGTTGATCTTTTTCTCTCATTTCTAGATTTTCAAGATCAGGTATTCTTGATTGGAGTTGAACTGGAGATGTTGGCACAGTTGTTCTGAGTTTCCTGTTCATGCATAGTTCAGCAGGGCTGTACCCATTTTCCAATGGAGCGGTTCGATAACCAAGAAGAGAAAGATATGGATCTCTTCCTTTCTTCAACTGGTTTTTGATATTCTTCACCATCGATTCGATGAAGCCATTGCTTTGAGGAAATCTGGGACTAGATGTTATGTGGTGGAAACCATATTCTTTTGCAAACTTTTTGAATTCTAACCCAAACTGTGGTCCGTTATCTGATCTAACCTCTTCGGGTATTCCATGGCGAGCAAAAATTGACTTGCAATGTAGAATTGTTGAATGTGTTGTTTGATCCTCCAGCAATGCCAACTCTGGGAATCTAGAGTAATAGTCTGCAATTAGAAGATAGTATTTGCCCTTTAAGTAAAAATGGTCGATTCCTACTTTCTCCCATGGCCTGCTTGGGAAATCAGAAACAATTAATGGCTGCTGGGGATTAGATCTTTCTTCAATACAATTTGGGCAGTTCCTCACAAGTTCTCCAATTTCTTGACTGATTCTGGGCCACCACACAGATGATCTGGCACGGCCTCTACATTTTTCGATGCCAAGATGACCTTCATGGAGGCTGTTTAGAACCTTTGATCTGAGGGACTTAGGAATATAAATCCTGGAATTTCTCATTAGAAGACCATCTATGACAGACATTTCATATCTGAGACACCAAAAGGCTTTTGCTTCTGCAGAAAGCTCATTCTTTGTAGGCCAGCCCTTTTCACAATAGTCTTTTATTTCTCTGCACTCTCTCTCTTCATTTTGATATTGCCAGATTTCTTTCATATTTTCATCCTTGAATGGAGGACATGAAGTGATCTGTTGAACAAAACTACAGATTTCATTCTCCAGATCTTTCTCATGCGATATCTTAATTGGGCTTCTGGACAAAGCATCAGCAACAACAATGTCCTTGCCTGGTGTGTGATAAATGCTATATGAGTAGCGCATCATCCGAAGTCGTAGTCGCTGTATGCGTGGTGTCATTTCATCTAGATTTTTGGTTGAAAATATTGGAATGAGAGGTTTATGGTCAGTTTCAATGGAAAATGTATTTCCATCAGATAGTCCTGAAATCTTTCACAGGCCCAAACTATTGCTAGAGATTCTTTCTCAATTTGAGCCCATCTCTTTTCAGTTTCGGACATAGTCCTGGAGGCATATGCAACTGCTTTTTGGTATCCATCTTCAGATTTTTGTAAAAGCACTGCTCCTAGTCCATATGAAGAGGCATCTGCAGACACTGTAGTTGGTAGATTGGGGTCAAAAAGTGTTAGTGCTGGAGAAGTTGAAAGAAGTTTCTTCACTTTTTCAAATGCTTCCTCCTGAGCACTATCCCATCTCCAATCATTTCTCTTTACTAGGAGTTGATTAAGTGGGTAGAGGATAGTTGAAAGGTCTGGTATAAATTTACCTGTGAAGTTCACCATTCCCAGGAATCTGCGCACTTCAGAAATGCTTGAAGGTGATGGAAACTCCCTGATGGCCTGGACTTTGTTTGGATCAGGTAGCACTCCTCTTTCTGTAATCAGGTGACCAAGAAATTTGATTTCCTTCACTGAGAAGATGCATTTCTCTTTATTCAGGGTCAGTCCTGAATCTTGAAGCTTCCTAAGGACGCATCTTAACCTTTCATCATGTTCTTCTTGTGTAGCTCCCCAAATCACAATGTCGTCCATGTGACAATTTACCCCAGATTGGCTCTCCAGTAGATTGCTCATCTTTCTCTGGAATACCTCAGGTGCAGAAGAAATTCCGAAGGGTAGCCGTTTGAATCTGTATCTGCCAAATGGGGTCAGGAAGGTTGTAAGGCTAGATGATTCCTCTGACAGGGGTATCTGCCAAAACCCACTGTTGGCATCCAGTTTTGAAAACAATTTAGCTCCTCCCATTTGTGCCAAGGTATATTCCACTGATGGAATTGGATAATGTTCTCTTTTAACAAACTTGTTTAGAGCTGTCAGATCTACACAAATCCTTAGATCATTAGAAGACGGTTTGGGCACAATGACCATTGGAGCACACCAATCCGTTGGTTGCTCAACTTTTTCAATTACTCCTTTTTCAACCATTTGATCAAGTTGTTCTTTTGTTTTATTCAAAAGTGGAATGGGTATTCTTCTGGGAGTATATATAGCATGAGGCTGTGATTCATCCTTCAATTTAATTGTGTAGCTCCCTTGGAGTGTTCCGAGTCCTGTGAAAAGCTTTGGATATTCTTCAAAAGGATTAAGCGAATTCCTTTTCTCAATTGACTGAAGTCTTTTGATTAGGTTTAGAGATTCACAGGCTTTTCCGCTCAAGAGTGGTTGCATTAGTTGAGGAACAACAAATATTTCTCCAGGGATGCTTCTCCCATCTTTTTCTATTAAAGCTGTGAATTTTCCTATTACATGCAATTTAACCTGTCTAGGTCCTAAAAGTTGAATATCAGGTTTGCATAACTTCTTGTGAGCAAAATTTTTAAAATAAATCTCTTGGGGTATTATATTTACATCCGCTCCTGTATCCATTTTAAAAAGTATTTTAATCTTATCTACTTTTACATAAACCTTCCAATCATTTGAGTTTTGTCCATTCTCATAGATATTACCAACAAAATGGTAGTCATCACCTTGGGTGACTTGTCCTACTGTCTTATTGTAGCACACCTTTGCAAAATGTCCTACCTTTTTACATTTATGGCATTTAACTTCTTTTGCAGGGCAGTCTTTATATGGATGGAATTTTGAAGCACCACATCTTATACATCCAGATTTTTCAGGCTTGCTCCACTTCTGAAATTTACTTTTCTTTGAAGCGTCTCCTTTCCCATTTGTAGAATTGAACCTTCTTGGTGGTAACTTTTTTTCATAGACTTGGTCTACATTGGCAGCCTGTGTTGTTGTTGATCGAAGAATAGTCTGTTGTTGCTTCACACATTCTGTCTGGCAAGCAGCTTGGATAGCCCTTTCCAAGGTCAAGTTAGGCTCTAGTTGCAACTTCTCTGAAAGTTGTAGATTTTTTACTCCTACAACTATTCTATCTCTAATCATTTCTTCTTTCAGAGATCCATAGTTACAATTTTCGGCCATTTTGTGAAGCACTCTTATGTATTCCTCGACAGCTTCTCCATCCTGCTGATATCTACGATTAAATTGTGCTCTTTCAAAGATGACATTTCGTTTACCTATAAAGTGCTCTTCAAATTTCTTAACAACTGTTTCATAATTGTTTATTTCTATTTCAGTTAAATTGAATGAAATTAGAGCATCTTCGGCTTTTTCACCTAATATGTAAATTAGAGCATTTACTTGCTCTTCCTCCTTTTTAGATTTTAACTCTGACGCTTTTCTAAAGCGTTCAAATCTTTTAATCCAATTTGGCCATTCATTTGGATTATTAAAATTAAATTGTTCTGGAGGATTTATATTTTGCATTATTTTTTTTTTCGTTGTTTATGCAAAAATAATTCTTTTTGTTTTTACTAGTAATTAGATTAGGCTTAGGGCACTATCGCCAATTCGCTGCCACCATGTATTGTGTATTGCCTTGTTATAAATAAGAAGATACTCTTACCTTAAGGATTATATCTTTAATCTTATTTATTTATCTATTTACAAGGTAATATTTAAAACTTAGAACAATTACAGCTATGGCGGAACTTTCACCAGCCTAAGGTAAACAACAACAGTCAATCTGATGATGATCGTAACGTACTCTCAACACACTATCATCCATATGAACATGATAGCAACACTTCTCTCTATGATGCACAATTTTAACCCTGCTTAGAGTTGAGACTCTCTTTCACACACATAAAGCTTTGTTAAGACCACCGGTCTTATAGAGTTGAGTCTCAAATTTTCAGCAATTGTTCATGAGACCTAAAAGTAGCAAGATATCCAAAAATTCAGGTTTATATCGCTAACCTCTTTGGAATCACAAGTAAAAACATATCAATTTAAGAAATTTGAATTAAATGCATTATAAACTCACTCAATTTATACTTTTTCTGATTTGCACATGTATAGACATGTGGTGCACTTACAGTAAAGGGAGTCGCCTACCTCTACAAACCAAGTGTACTAGGAATAAGCAAAAAAAAAAAAAAACCTTTTTTTTCATAGGGAACGCCAAATTAAAAATAATAGATACACATATTCTAAAATTGTTTTAAATTTTGTATCAATATATCAAATATTTTATATAATAAGTCAATAAATCAAATATTTTTATAATAAGTGTTCAAAGCTAATATTAGTTTGCTTTTTGAGATCTCAAATGAAATTCGTAAAATGTATTTTATTTATCATATCTTGTCTAAAATATTTTATCGATATATATTTTGAAAATATAATAAGTTAAATGTTTCAATTTTCTTTTTTCAATATTATTCACATTGAATTTTTATTATATTTCAATGATTATGTGAACTCTTTTTTGAAAAGGTCCTTTCTTTTACCCACGTGTTTATTTATTTATTTTGTCAAAACCCCAATGTTCTTTTGGACATTTAGAAATTTAAATTAGAATAAAATGGCAAATTTCAATTTGAGTATGTATTAATATTTAATAAATATCTAACGTGTATAATTTGGTGCCAACATCGCAGTTATTCGCAGTTAATCGGGCGTGACAAATAAATGTTAATTCAATTACCAAAAATCCAAAACTAAATAATACATATCCTACAATAGGCCTGTTTACCTACTTTTTAAAAAGAAATTGGGCTTCAATGCTGATAAATTACATATTTCGTTAAATGTCAAAATAACACTTTTTGGAAATAAATCTATTTAATATATTTTATGAATAATAATAATAATAAAAAAATAATCTTTCAAAAAATCTAGGATATTAAAGATAGCCATTGCACAGAGCAAATTTAATTAAAATAAAATACAAATTTGGCAAGAATAAATTATTGATGTATGTGTTATTTTTTTGGCAAAAACTAGATATAGGAATTGGTGTCAATTAAAAGTTTCTTTAAAAATTTTAAAAAGATCATCGAATGCCAGTAATGCACAACTTTAGAAATAAACTGATCTTCAAATAAATTTTAGTAGCACTTTCTAAAAATCACCATCACTGTTAAAGACAATGAAATAAAAATATAAAATCTTTTTTTGAATCCTATCACAAACAGAAAAACAATGTAAAATGACAATTTAGAAAAGTAGAAAACACAAAATTTGTGATAAATGCAAGCACTGCTCCTTTACTCTCTGAATACACTCATGGACAAAACTTAAGGAAGTTGTACCTTTTACCATGTATATCAGGATTGAGACAATAACTCTGAAAGATATTACAGTGACCTTTATTGAAGACATACGAGATAACCAATATACACTCATGGACAAAACTTAAGGAAGTTGTAACTTTTACCATGTATATCGGGATTGAGACAATAACTCTGAAAGATATTACAGTGACCTTTATTGAAGACATACGAGATAACCAATATACACTCATGGACAAAACTTAAGGAAGTTGTAACTTTCAGCATGTATATCAGGATTGAGACAATAACTCTGAAAGATATTACAGTGACCTTTATTGAAGACATACGAGATAACCAATATACACTCATGGACAAAACTTAAGGAAGTTGTAACTTTTCAGCATGTATATCGGGATTGAGACAATAACTCTGAAAGATATTACAGTGACCTTTATTGAAGACACATGAGATAACCAAGTGAGAACAGCCTCTGTCTCTTTTAAAAGATAGACGACTGGCGGCATCAAAGACTTTCCACTTAAGTTTTGTCCATGAGTGTATGTTAGGGGGTGTGTGGATATAAGGAAACCAAGGCTAGATAGGATATGGTTAATGTTGAGGAAATATGCAAATGTAGAAAATGACAGGCCATGTCATTTTTATTTTGAAAAGGTCACAAAATCACTTTTCAAAAAAGCAAAAATTATTCCAATTATCAGTGGTCCCAATTATCAGCCTTCATAACCTATTTTCATTATTTATCTCTTCTTATTCTTTCTTATCTCCACTTAGGGTATCAAGCCTGTAGAGCTTGTTGATGGTGTCTGCTGGGGTTGAGTAGAGCTCATCAAAGAAGAGTTGACAACCATATTGACTGGGTGAAGTAGAATGTCATTAAGCCTGGGAACACTACTCAGGCCACTGACTTAGCTCCAATATGAAATGGCCACCTCTGACATGAGGAACAGATGCCATCCATGTACAGCTGCTCCTATCATGGAGTACATCCTGTATCCCTTACAGGGTACTATCAGCACAGCCTGGGTTTTTTTAGCAAGCTTGTTACTGCTCTTCTTATTTTTCTTGAACTTTTTCTTTTGGGCTTGGAACCAGCAAAGGCAGACTTATCTTTATGTACTATATTAAAGTATAAATACAGGCAAACCTTGTTATAACAACAAAAAAAAAACACTTTGGACCAAGATTTGCACGTTGTTCTAGCCACGTCGCTGTTAGAAAAGAGGCTTTTAATAAACAAGGTTCCACTATAAAACAAGGTAATAAGACCAAATCCAAATAAATAAATAGTGTGTGACGTTTCAGTAACAGCGTTGTTACCATCTTCAGACAAAAGTACTGAAATTAATGAAATACATTCAGTACTTTTTCAGACAAAAGAATAAATGACTTAAATAAATTCTTTTGTCTGATGATGGTGACAATGTTGCCGAAACGTCACATGCTAATAAATTATTTGGATCAGGTCTTATTTTCTTTTATTATAATCTATAATCCAAATTGTGCTTTATCAAGGTTCTACTATGTACAGTGTGCCTGGTTTATTCGCTACCTGATTGGTTCTTTGCTATCAGGTGACCTTAATCAGCCAATCTCTATTGATTGTATTATTAGCCAATCAGTGTTCAATAGTTGTGTTAAAGATCTTTTTTTTTTAAGAGATCTATGTCAAAATTAGGATATTTCAAATGATTAGGTTACAATTTGGATTATAGCTACAAGGTAATAAGACTGCAATTCTCAACCTGCAACCCCAAAACACATTATTGACTGTATTGACTCATCCATTGATGAGCTCTACTCTTCCCCGGTAGACATCATCAAAAGTCTCAAGCTTTACAAGCTTGATACCTTAATATGATTGAGTGGAGATAAGAAAGAAGAAGAGGTAAAAAGACCAAATCCAGATAAATAGTGTGTGATGTTTCGGTAACAACGCTGTTACCAAAATTTCACTTTTTTTTTTGGATTTGGTCTTATTACCTTGTATTAGGATATTTTGTAAAAAACTTGTGAGTGTAAAAGATAAAATTTCCTACTGACCAAATCATCCATCACCTAGAATAGTTTAGATTCCTGTTATTTATTTATGCTTTTGAGGTGATACAGCAACATCTTTACAATTAAAGAGGAGACAAAATGAACCAAATCTAGAAAAAAGAAGTGAGGACATATCGGTCATTAAAGTCTGAGAGGCAAGGCCTTCAGTTTAGATTCCTGTCAAAGTTGCTGTCACTTGGAATGTGTGTTGCAGAGAAGAAAAGCAAACGTCTGTCTTGTCACAAGAAGTACAAGATCCTCCGGAAGGTGAGTGTCTACCAACAATACTCTGGATGATAGCAGAATTTGATGGTTGGAAGTTCAAAGCTGTCATATATATGACAATAAAACACAATTTGGTTTATAGATTATAAATACAAGGTAATAAAATCAAATAAATAAATAGTGTGTGATGTTTCGGTAACAGCGCTGTTACCGAAACGTCACACACTCCTTATTTATTTGGATTTGTGGTCCTATTATCTTATATATATACAGTAAAACCCCGCTAATACGAACCCTGGATATAGCGAATCTTCCCTTATAACGAACCCACGGCGATTCCCAATTCCGTTCCATTGAAAATACCATCGTTATAACGAACTTTGCGATTTTTAAAATAATGAACTACCCCTATAACGAACCGATTTTCGGTCCCAAAATGATAAAATCTACTAAAAATACTATGCCTATAACAAACTTAAAATTGTAATTTAAAAAATTTTCAAAACAACAAAATTTTGAGCATGTTTCAGCTCACGGATCGCGATTTCAAAACAAAAAAAATTAGCGGCATTGTTTGTTTTCATTTCCATTCTATTTTTGCTGTATGTTGTATAAATTTTTACACATTATACTTTTATTTAATAGAATATCTTTGCATTTGACAATTTTGAAATAGAAGAAAAATACAAATGGCTTCCAAAATAAAGAAAAGAAACAAAGAATGGCGTTCTAAAAAAAAAAAAAAAACAGTGGCAGCATGCCCTTTTAGAAGCGTTCTATATCAAGTTTAACCTAGGCTAAAACATAATTCCAAATAATTTTAAAGCCAGAAATGGTTTGAATAACAGGTTAAAAACAAAATTTAATATACACTTCAGAAGAATATGTGGAAACTGGAATTGGAAGGAGAAAAAAAAACAGTTCCCCCAAGTTCCTCGTGTCTCATGGGCCACAAACAAATCGACTTATAAATTCTCAAAAACTACCACTACAGTTCTATTTTTAGAATGGAATTCTTGTTAGGTATATGAGTCATTCAGAGTTTGCGGATATTCCCTCTGGCCAGCCGTTATACCACCGATTTTGTGTTTGCAAATTGGCGTTTTTTATTCGCAATTTTACCGATCGCGCTATCGTATCAACATGTTTCACGTCCGATTTTTCTGAATTGGGTACTTTTGATTCATCTTCAATTGATTCAGAATACACGGAGCTTTACATTTCACTTTTCACTTTCAAACAACAAGGTATTAGAGGCATTTTTTCAAATAAATTTAGCATTATATTATTTGAGAAAGATGTTCTAAAATACTCTTATACCTTTAATAATGTTTTGCTTAGGGGATTTGGCTTAATTTTTAAATAATACATAGGTTTATATATAAACATGTATGCTAATGATAAGAAGAACCTATTATCAAATGACTTCTTTTTGATATTCAGCATTACTGTAAAGAAATAGGTCAATTTAGGGAATTAAAACAAAGTGACCATTATTAAGTGGCTGTCTTTTCCTGTTTGTATGGCTGTTTTTTAATTATATGGTCTAAAAATTTAGAAAAGTTTACAAAAAATGGCCAAACCGTGGCTAG